CTATCTATTTATTTATTTATTTATTTATTTATTTATTTTGGTCTTTTTGAGACAGGATCTCCCTGTAGCCCCAGCTGTCCTGGAACTCACTATGTAGACCAGGCTGACCTTGACTGTATAGGCACTACAGTGTGGGGAAGGACTAATCTAGCAGTTACTGTAGTGGCCATAGCCCTCATTGATGGGACTTGTATCTGTGTTGCAAAGACATTTTATAAAGTAAGAATACTCACATTTGCTTCATTGCAAATATGGGAGAAGACACTTTGGAGGGGCAAAGTGTTGGGGTTTGAATGGAAACATCTCTCATAAGCTCTTATGTCTTGACATTTAGTCCTCAGATGATGTGGCTGTTTTGGGAGGTAGTGGAGCCTTTGGAAGGTGGGGCCTAGATGGAGGAAGTGGGCTACTGGGAGGTGGGTCTCCAGGGATATAGGGCAGCAGTCATTAAACAAGCAGCTCCTCATGCTCCCACCCGCAAAGGCAGAGGCAGATCCCACCACCACCACCTTCTATTCCATGATGACCTGTGCCCAGAACCATGCGCTAAACTAAACCTTTCCTAAGTTGCTTCTGTCCAGCATTGGTCACAGCCATGCAAAAATAACTAATACACAGTGGTGTTATTGTCCTTAAATATATGTCATTGTAGCCTCTCCTGTGTTTGTTGGAACTTGCAGCTGTGTTCCGTGAACCAGGCGAAACACCCTCAGGGAGTGAAGTGCAGCCCAGTACAATTCAGCTTTGCCCTACATCTTACTGGCCACAGAGACCCTGCTGAAAACACTGGCTATGAAGTTTAGTTGCTTTTCTTTTTCTAGTTGAAAACCTTGATGAAAAGCAACTTGGATGAGTGTAACAGTGGAATTCCACATTACAGTGAGATTGAACCCAAACAGCCTGATTCTCAGCTTCCACTGAAACCAGGGATGAGGCCCCAAACATTCAGGGAACCTGCCCCTTCAGATTTCTCCTGGAACTGTGCTCTCAAACGAAGACCTTGCTTTCTCTTTATTGAAACCATTCATCAACATAAAACAGGGAAAGAAAAGCAGAATTTGTCTTATCAGAGGATTTTCCCTTCTGACCGCTTCAGACCTAGAACAGAGTGTACAACCACAGACAGATTCTATCAGTGTAATCCTACCTATTGTTTGTAGCACTAGTGGCATAATCTGTTGCTTTCAATGAATACTCGCTGCTGACAGCATTTGATATTCACAATATGAACACACACATACAAACATTATTCTGGGACACGGGCTAGGGATGCCAGTGAGGGTTTAAAGCTACATGTTTGGGTTACTGGAGCAACCCTAGGCCTAGCAAGTTGTGTACATTATAAACAAGCTAAAATAGTTTTGAATGATCTCAAAACACAATATTAACTTTGGTTATAAACTTGGCTAGAAGTCATTCCCACAATCCCCCCTTGTGTGTTATAGTAAGCAGAAGGCGAGGGAGAGAGGGAGAGAGAGAGAGAGGGGAGAGAGAACACAGGAAGTGGAGGCAAGCTTTAAAACCTTAACGTGATGTACTTCCTCCACGAAGGCTCCACCTCCTAAAGGTTTCTTAACTTTCCAGGTGCTAAAATACATGGGGATTCTTCCTCATTCTCACCGTAGTTCGAGCTGTGTAGGCTGGGGTTGGTCATGGTGGTTATTCTCTTTTCCTTCCCAGAAATATGAACAAGAACTTTTCAAACTGGCCCTGCCCTGCCTCAGTGCTGTTGCTGGAGCTCTGCCTCCAGACTACATGGAATCAAACTATGTCACCATGATGGAAAAACAATCATCCATGGACTCTGAAGGAAACTTTAACCCACAACCTGTTGATACCTCCAAGTATGGCCTCTTTCTATTGCAGCAGATTTTTATTGTAAATGATGTGTGAAGTCTGAAATTGAAGAAGGTACTGACGTGAACTTTCTGATACATGCCCCCTTTGAATTGGCATCCTTTGACTAGAAGTTCCTTGAATCTATCAAATGGCAGTAATGATAACAATGATTATATCAGCATCAGAAATAGACAAGGTGCCTTCTAGGTACTCCTCACATAGGAGGAACTGCTGTTTATCACCATGAGGTAAAATCTATAATGAGAATCAAGAAAGTATATTAGTTATAGTTTATCTAAAATGTGCATCAGTAACTATGTTGGACCTCTGCCTCGAATCTGTAACAGGATGGTTCCCCAGTGTGAGTAGCAGGGACTCACAGCATCTCAGCCAGGCCTAGGGTTCGGTGTTGATATTCTGTTCAAAGAACACCATGAGATTAAAAGAATATCAAGTGGAATTAAGTATATAGTCATAATGTGTCCAGCCTTAAGCAAAGACAAGGAATCAGCAGTCACCACCAAATTTCCCACATGTGCTTAGTTTTCTGAGTTGGTTTGCAGGTGGGATACCCA